TGCGTGTGTGTGTGACACAGTTGCAAGGTTTCCAGTATGAACTTTGGTAGATGACAACATGCTGTTAAAATGTAAAAGGGTAAAGAACATTCCAGTCAAATTATTCTTCACTAATGATCCCGTCCCTAAAATTGTCTTCCTGGGAACTATGAGGTTATGTCCAAGCCCAGAGTGTCAACGGGCACTCAGAAGGAATTTCGGATGGACGAGTTTAAAAAACACAGTGCTGGTGGCAACAGGGCTGAGTTAGAGCTTCCCCTGGACCTGCAAGTGGGAGCTATTTCTATTAACTAGAAGAGTCTTCACAGCCAAAAGATAGCTGAAGGCCACAGAGGGGATTCCGTGTCCCTGTGAGGGTTTGAATGTGAAATGTCCCTCACAGGCTCTTGCGTTTGAACACTTGGTCACCAGATGGTGGCACTGTTTTGAGCCTCCCTGTGTCATGGGGCCTGACTGGCTAACACAGGCAGGCTTAAGGGCTAAAGCTCTGCCCACTTTGGGATGAAGTCTCTCTGCTTCCTGGCCCAAACCCTTTAATAAGCAACTCCCTCTGGCTCCTGCTGTCACGGCTCAGCTCAATGCCACTCCTTCTCCACCATATTGGACTGGGCTCCAGCCCCCACGTCATAGTAGACCACTGTCAAGTAGGCAACACACAATGAGTGATACATCTGTCATGTTTTGCATTTTCCCAAAGAATAATTTGAATTTTTATCCTAAAAATGCCTGACCCTGGTGGCCTCCCGTGACAGGCCTCCCGCAACTACAGGCACTTGCAAGTTCTCCCAGCCTGGATGCTGGTCTAGCTCTTTGGAGGAATGACTAGCTACCCAAAACTTCACAAAAACACATGAAGGACACAAATAAGAATATGAAAATAGAGTCAGTCAGTAACGGTGCGCATCTTTAATCCCAGAACTTGGGAGGCTCAGGTAGGAAGATCTCTGTGAGTTCAAGGCCAACCTGGTTTATAGAGTGAGTTCCAGGACAGCCAAGGCTACACAGAGAAACCCTGTCTCAAAAAAAAAAAAAAAAAAAAAAAAAAAAAAAAAGATGTGTGGGACTGGAGAGATGGCTGGGTGGTTAAAAGTAACTGTTCTTCCAGAGGACCCTGGTTCGATTCCAGCACCCACATGGTGGCTGGCAAAATATCTGCAACTCCAGTTCCAGGGGACCCAGCACCCCTTTTCTGACCTTTCAGATACTTCCCTACATTGTCACAGACATACAGGCAGGCAAAAACATTCATGCACACAAAATAAAAATAAATCACACACGCACACAAAATAGGTGTCTATTTCTAGGGCAATCAAGACTGGGAGTCATTTAGCAGGGCACAGCTCCAAGACCAGGGCTAAGTCTTTGGAAATGGGAAACTAAATTCCTGGCAAGGGACCTCCCACTATGAAAACTAACTATCAGTTAAGGAGCCACAGGATGGCAATGTTACTTTTCTTATTTGGAAACTGGGTAGCTGCTGCAGTGTGATCGCAGGGCTCCTTGGGAGATCCAGTTGTTTTGTGACAGCTCGAAGGCTCTTGTGTCGTGCAGGGATGCTGTTCGCCTCCTCTGGACCAAGGACTCTAACTGCCCATTGGTGATGTCAAGGACATATCGAAGATGACTTGTTCCCCCTCCCATTCTGTTATCTCTCTTGGATTCATAAAGAGGGAAGTGTGGCTACACCCGTATTCCCTCACTGCAGTTTTGAGTTCAATAAGGCAAAACATAGAAGGGATGTTTGTAAGGGGGTGAAAAGTTGAAGAATCAAGCTCGAGCCTCCCCCTCCATGAACATTCATAAGTCCAAGGGAGTAAGCGGTCTTCCCCTGAGCCGGTGTGGGAGTGTGCCTGCGCTGTGAAGAGACTCCGAGAGAGATGGTGTGAACAAATGGCGTCTGCGGAGGCCGGGAGAGAAGGGGCTGATATGATCAGCTGGCAGGAGAGGAACAAGGGCAAAGGAGAAGTTTCTACATTGTTACTTGGAGGAAATCTGAAAGAAACTACTTTGCACCCATATGGTGCCTGGTAAGGAAATGCGCCACCTTCAGGTTGGCAGGCGTCGAACCCAAGGGCAATCGAACCGCTGGATGATACAAGCTCCGCCTTCCCACCCAACAAAAGGAAGCCTGACCACTTCTCACTTCTGAAAATGAAGGCAAGGCCATGAGGTTACTCCCAAAAGACATCTGAGGGCAGTAAGAAGATAAGGCTGTGGTGAGGAAGCAATATCTTCAGGGAAGAAGAAAAAAAAGCCCTACAATAAGCAAAATGCACAAATACATACGTTCATATGACAATCAGTTCTCCTGAAACCTGGCATTAGCCAGTTTATAGCACTGCTCGGTTTGTGTGTTTCCATGTGTACAGGTGCAACATTTTTAAAGTAACACATATTTCAGGTGACTCAGAAACTCCACCAGACTGTTTGACTTGTCTAAGATGCCTAAAACAAGCTTCACTGTCACATAAAACTCCACGATACGTAAGGGCACATCTCCACCATCTTAAAAAAATGCAAAGCATTCTAACACAACCTGTTGAAGACACCTAATATGGAAAATCTTTTGTCTCCACAGAAGCAAGAACACTGCCTTCTGGGAGCTGCAGAGATAACTCGGTGGTTAAAAACACACAGTGCTCTCAAAGAGGACCAGAGTTCAGTAACCAGTGTGCATATCTAGCCACCCCAACGCCCTCTCCTGGCCCCATTGGGAACTGCACCCATGTGTACAAATTCCCACACAGAGGGTACACATGATTTTTTTTTTTTAAAGAGTGCTTTCTTTGGTGCTTTTAACGTGTATTTCTGATCGCAGGCTCGGTTTTATCCATGGGTGCATTTTTATGAAGAGTTTTTAAAAGTAAGAGCTCCTGCAAAGCCCAGAGTCACTGGGCTGTGTGCTTGGAAGACACCGGGGTCCGTTAGTGCTCACAGGTTTGCAAACACTTCTAAAACGGACTAACAGGGTATTCATCCCAAAAAGAGATAAGACAGTCATGAAACTGGGTAACCTTCCTGAAAGAGGGACTAAAGTTAGTGGGAAAGACGAGATGAGGGCGGGGTAAGGTGGAGAGAGTGTCTACAGTACAAATCAGACCACTTGAGTTTGGATCCCTAGACCCACATAAAAGCCAGACTCCGTAACACAAGTGTCCGTGATATCAGCGCCCCCTACAGGGACATGGGAGGCGGAAACACGAGAATGCCTGGAATGGGCCGGCTAGCCTAGTGAAAGCATCAGTGAGCAGAAAGAGAACCCGTCCTGAACAAGGTGGAAATCAAAGATCATTATCCGAGGTTGTCCTCTGAACTCCACACAAGCACCGTGGCACACTCACAGACATGCGCACACATGCACTCCTCGCACGCGCGCACCCCACACCAAAAAGATTAGATGAAGATCAGCGAGCTTGTGTCCACCCTCCAAAGAGCGAGACTCGCATCCGGGCTGCTTGCACGTGCTGCTGGTTCCCAGAGGACCCCAAAGGCATCGCAGGTTGGACGGAAAGGACATTCTGTGTGGTCAGCAGATGCTATGCATTGGTTAAGACAGAGAACACGCTGGGAGAATGCAATTGTTGCCTTGAGAGAAGCAGGAACCTAACAGGATCAGCTATATCCTGGACCAATTCTGCCGCACCAATGGCGTATGCCATGTCACCACTCTAGGGTTCCATTTTTTTTAATCTATAAAATGAGGAAGATGAATGGCCCCAGAGAGTTCTTCCAATGATATATATTTAAGTTTGCACTTTTATAAATACCAGAACTCAAAAAAAAGTCCATAAATGACAAAGTTATCATACACATCCAACAAACACTTTCGACTTGCTCAGTACCCCTTCCAGGCACCGCCACCATCTCCTGCAGCCTACAACAGCAGGCAGCATCCCCCTGACAGCCATCACTTTACCACGGATGAACAGTGATGCTGAGTGCATTGACCAAGGTCAAGAGCTAGGACAGGATCACACGTCCAGCCTCCTCCGTCCCTGTGGCTGTGCTAAGCTTTTCATGGAGAAAGCAAGCTGACTTTCCTGGGAAGAATGCCAGAGGTTCCATCCTCCCCACTGAGAATATACTGGAATATTAGAATAACAACTTTGGAGACGGAGGTCTCTCCGAACCATTTCAGGACCTGGCTAGAAACATGAAAACCCAGAGAAAGGAGCAACAGGGAATTCTTCCCGTTTTTTAACGAAAGAGAAAAAATTAGGGATGGGAATTTGGGGTTTCTTTAAAAATTACATGATGGCTGGAAGTTAATCTGGCATTTCTTCGTTGGTTTGTAAGTTCTGTTTCCAATCACAAAAACAGACAGCTGAGGAGGCCTAAATCGCATTTCAGTGAATTAGCATCTTGTCCCAGAGAATCTATCTCCCTCTGAACACAGCGTAGAACCCAGGCTGGTCCTGTGTAGCAGGAAAAATTCTCAGTGTTAAGAGCAAATTTGTCAGGAGCCCCTACATGGCTACCTGAGGTGAAAGGCTTCAAGTCCAGCAACAATCATCAAACATTGGTAATATTAAAAAAAAAATGGCATTGAGCTCTACAGAAAGGATTTGGCCATACCCTGCCAGAGAGAGGCAGTGGCAGGCCCAAGGCCTCACCTTCTTTTGTCAACTCACACACCTTACGAGACTGAAGTCAGTGCTAATAAACTTGCCAGTGAGTCTGCGTTACCTGGAAAGAAGGTCCTAGCCCAAGCCTGTACCCCAGTCCCTGGGAGGCGAAGCAGGGAAAACACAAGTTTAAGCACAACCTGAGCTGCAAAAACAAGACCACGTCTCTAAACACCAAAGATTAATTTTTTAAAAAGTGAATAAAAAAAATGAAAGGAAGATTCTGATTTCTAAATCCTGGCTATAAGAGCTTCGTGCCTTGCAGAAAACACGAAAGCCAAGATGACAGCAAAGTCCCCCAGGATCATTCCCCAGAGTTAAGACTCATGAAGGAAGGAGCTGTATAAACAGCAGGAATCACGTTGTTCCCCCTACCTGTCGATGATGACAGGGTCTGACGGAGTCTCATTCCGATTCCCGCAGCTCTTCTTCTCGCAGCATCGACTGTAGGGGGGGAGGGAATCAAAACGATGAAAGAAACTATGTCAAACTGAAAAAGTTCAATGAGCATACCGCGTAGGAACATTCCCAAATGGCCAAAGTAGCCTCCGGACTATAAACCACACAAGAGCAAAACTTCGGGACAATGCTCTATTTATTAAAAAAAAAAAAATACCTGAGTCCAAACTCATTCAAATTCTCCATCTTAGGAGCTGGCGGGTCTCAGCTTTCCTGAGAGGCATATCTGTAACTTAACTACAGATGTTTGGATCTTAAGGTCTACCGAGGTCACTTCCGGGCTGACACATGAAGATTTTATGAAAGTGTATGTTAAGTCTTTATATCCCAATAAATATTTAAAGAAAGAAAGGGTGTAGGGATGTATTAAAATGTATAAAAGTGAATAAAGAAAAAGAAAAGGATGATCTGATTTCTAAATCCTGGCTATAGACCAAAAATAGCTGCCTAGGTTGTTGTAAACCTATTGACCTACCAGCTTTCTCTGGAAAACAGGGTGTCCTTTCTAAGCTTTTATTTATCCACTCTTTGCTGTCATTTTCCAGATGAAGGAAGAAAATGAGAATTTACATATTTTAAGTTGTATAAATTTTATATATTTTGTCAAAATGGATGCATAAAAAAAGAAAGCTATGCATTTTTAAATCAGGAGGAAATGAAACACCGAACTGGAGAACAGTAACTAACAATTTTCAGAACAGAAATAAGACTTGAATGCATCAAGTCCCGGTCCTAAAGTCTCTGCCTCCCAAGGTGTTCGCTCTGTTAAGTACAGGGAGCCTGGTAGACAGACAGACAGACAAAATGACAGACAGAGAAATGCTGAAGGGGTAAGGCCCCCAAAGCAATTACAACAGCAAGGAAAGGCCCAAAATGACTTAAAAGAACAAACATATTGGTCCCAAAGTATCAGTTCAAAGTCAACAGACAAGGGTGAGAAGACCAACAGGGTACATGTAATCCAACCAGTGTTCATCAGACAGCGGACACTTGAATGCTCACTATCAAGAACGGTTGACTTAGCTTGTAGCCTTGACACAGCTCATAAGAAAATCATGGCCATCCTACCGGTTGGAGAGATCTAATACATGTTTTAATAACCATCCACGTGTGTGTGCTGCCCTGCTATGGCCGCTCTGCAGCTCAAACCTAGGACAAACCTAGCCCCTGAGAAATCGCTGGACCAGGAATAAGCAGCCTGATGCTACCCCTTCGCTAACTAACAACCAGCACTCAGTCCCTTATCTGAGTTTTGCTTCCCTTCTCCTGAAAGCATTTGGGTTGGTTATCTTTAGAAGGGCTTTTAGGGTTAAGCAGATGAGGATGCAGCTATGAGAGTTCATGCAAATTATAACAGTACAAAGAGAAACAGGAAGGGAGCCCGTGTGCCAACAAGGGATCCCAAGATGTGTGCCAGCGCAGTCGGGGATCTGCTCAGCCGCCCTCTGCAGCCTCCACAGAATTAAACAGAAACAAACAATGGAGGGGGTGAAAAGATGGCTCAGCAGTTAAAAGCACTGATGGCTCTTCTAGAAGGCCCAGGTTCAATTCCCAGCACCGCACAGTGACTCGCAATATCTAGAACTCCGGATCCAGGGAAAGTCGATGCCCTAGACAGCCGCCTAGGGCACCAGGCATGCATACCGTACGCAGACATAAATACACGCAAAACACCGGCAGAAAAAGGAGTTTTGAGTTGGTTTGGTTTTTCCAGACAGGATTTCTCTGTGTAGCCTTGGCTGTCCTGGAACTCACTCTGTAGACCAGGTTGACCTTGAACTAAGAGATCTGACTGCCTCTGCTTCCCAAGTTCTGGGATTAATGCTGGATTAATGGATTTCTTGCCGCTATGTCTGGGCAAGACATTTTTTTAAGATTTTGTTTATTCTACTTTATGTGCATGAGTGTTTTGCCTGCATGTATGTACATCACATGCATTCTTAGTGCTTACAGAGGGCAGAAGAAGGTATTGGACATGTGTCATGCTAGAAACTGAACTTGAGTCTCTTCGAGAGTGGCAAGCGCTCTTAACTGCTGAGCCATCTCTCCAGCCACCCTTTTCTTTTTAAATGAACATTTACGAACTTTTGCAATGTGTCTCTCTTACCAGAGAGACACAGATTAATCAGTGGGCAACTGTACCACCCTCAGAGTGTAAAAGGCCCTTGGGAGACATTAACGCCTGCTCATCAAGTGGGCACAAATGCAGCTCTAAGACATGTATCAAATTAGTAAATATTAAAAATTGTCTCAACTCTCCTGAATGCCAGTCTTTGCCACTGGGACTCTCTGAAATAATATTTGACCTTTGAAATTATATTAGATCTTAACTTTTAAAATTTCAATTCATCCCAAGATTAACACCCATAAAAAAAAAAGAAAAAATCCTGGCCAGCTGTACTTCCGCCTCCCAAAGCCCTTGTATTCCCCACAACCCCGTACCCACTGCGCCTCCCACCTCTCCCATCTCCGGAGTATTCTTTCTGCCGATGTGTTACCGTTAGCTGGTCAGTCAAAACAACTTTGTACAGTTCTACAGTTTCAAGAGCCCCCCCCACATACACTAGCTACCTAAAAACCTCCAAAACCAAACTCTCCTTCAGCATCACCGGCTTGTCAGCCTTGCCCCCACCCACATACGTGCGCAGCACTGGGTGCAGTTTAATTACAATCACATATGTCCTCAGAATGTGCCGATCTGTTTGGTTTGGGGAGGAATGATTCTGAGGAGGCCCATAAGTTTGCAAAATTGCTCAGCTGAATTCAGCTGCTTTCCACAGGGATTTCCTCTGTTGTAAAAGAGGGAAAAAATTATTTAAAAAAAAAAAAAGTTAGCTTGTGCCAAAGTGGTCCATGTCGGGGAGCAAGGGAGGGAAGGAAATGGCCTATAGAGAAAAAAAATGCAGAGGAGCCGCTGGGCTGACCCTTTATTTCTAAAAGGAAGGCCCTGCAATAGTGCCTCTTCATGTTAGCACATTGCAGAGAAAAGATATAGACATTCACTGGGCTACTGAATTGCAATAGTAAAAATATAAACATAATAAGAAGTGGTTGTATTGCCCCATTTGAATACTCCTTAAGGTTTCTCGGGGTCTCTCAGTTAAAACAAAAATTCCTTTTCGTGTGTGTGTGTGTGTGTGTGTGTGTGTGTGTGTGTAGTGTGTTTAAAGAAAGTTCTTGTCAATATGTTCTAGCTGTGTTGGATTCTTAAGTGTTAGTCAATCCTGGCATTCCTGAGAATCAAGGGAAGCGATGAACCCAGGACACGTAGAACCACAGCCCACCAACACTGTGGGTAGCTGGCACTCAGGAACGGGTCCCTGAATCACCCAGGTGACATTGCCTGGTTTTCTTTCCCTTCTAGAGGAAGCCTGAATGACCGGCTTTAGGTTCGTCTACTTTGTTTCAAAGGCTCTAGGGTTATACTCCAGTGAGCAGGCCTCTTAGTCTGAAGTACCTGAGAGGAGATTTTATGTTTTGTTTTGAACTGATAATGAATATAAAATGTGAAAAGATAGATAGATAGATAGATAGATAGATAGATAGATAGATAGATAGATAGACAAGAAGACTAAACTTCAATAGGTTAAAACTACCCTAAGGGTTTGGGAAGGTTTCTTCTCTTTCCCCAGTGTGTGAAACTGAAAGCCGTCTCTCTGTCTCCCAGGTTTAGATTATCCTACAATTTATTTGGGGCTCCTTCTGCTGGAAACACTCTCAAGTTGCTCACAGGCCTCTCCTTCCCAGGGACTCTTTGAAGCGGGGTGTGGTGGGGGGGAGAAAAAGTAAGGCTGAGAGGTTGGGGCTGAAGAATTTTTATCGCAGTCCTGAATCTTACCTGAATTTTTTTGTTTTTCGAGAAAGGAGGAAAACGAGAAAAAGAAAGATGAAAAGATGACTGGGGAAGAAAAAAAAAAAAGCCCTGGTCTCGGTCAGAGGGAGTCTAGCAGCCCAACTCCAACCCGAGATAAGCTATCGTGTCCTTTTCCTCTGCAAACTGCTTTTAAAATTCAGCCCTCAACTTTCAAAAATCTGTCTCTAATTTCAAACTCAAATAAGCGCCCAGCATGGTGGCTTTTGTTTTGTTTTCTTCTCCCCAACTCCTCCCTGCGATTGCATAACAAAAGTGTCTAAATTCACACCATCTGGCCGATAAAGACACTGGCCCCACTGCCCGGCTGGCCCATCTGATTAGGGCCCTGTCTAGCCCGCGCCTTGTGGCGAAAAGTCACAGCTGTGGGGTTTGCTCGCGCTCAATACAACTCTGTTATTAGCCAGCTGTAGGCCTAGAGACGACTTCTGTTCAAATTATAATATCTTTTAACCCTCTGAGCATTGAGGGCGCAGGGGTAGCTGGCAGCAACGTAACACCTAGATATCTCCTTGCTAATAATTGGCAAAATGAGCTAAGGTGGGGGAAGAGCCGAGATCACTGGGGAAGAAGGGAAAAGTTATTCCTGAAGAGATGAATTTTGCCCCTTTGTTTTTGGCACACTCACACACATACCACCACCACCAAAGCCAAAGACCAGCTAATGAACCTTTTGCTAATGAATACAGAACAGCAAGCCATTCCCGGAAGTACCCAGGTATGCCAGACAAGACCATGCGATTAAAGTATATGTACTAATTAGTCACTGAAGAACTGGGCGTCTCCATCACTGACAGCTGGAGCTGACTGGTCCAAGTGAAGGAGAAGGACAGGTTCCCCTTCCAGGAGAATCAGTCCCTTTAACTGATGAGAAGTTCCCCTGTGACTACGGACTCACCTATCTCTCATCTCCCAACACACACAGACACACACACACACACAATGCAGACAGTAACCCGTCCAACCGATTGTTTTTTCACCCATAATTAATATTTCCCCGCATCTTCCCCGCTCTCCACTGCAGAGAAGTTACAGTACATTAAATTTTCATATTGTGTTACTAATGCAGACTAAACTAGAGGCTTTAAAAATTGATGCTGCTATTTAAACCGCATAAAACAAGGAGGATTTGATTAGGTTTAAAAAATAAAAACATCATCCTTAACTACAGCTTCATGGAGTGTGAGAGCATTATTTAAAGTGATGGGGGGATTCCTTAGACAATGGCTACTGGGGGGATCTTTCTTTCTTTTAAGATTGTCTCTCCAGACAGGGATACTTAGAAGTGTAGAGAGAGAAGAGACCTCCTTTTGACTAGCCAACCAAATCAAAGCACTGTGACTGTGTCGTCTAGGTATGGCAGGCAAGTACCAGGAAGACCAGGACTTCTGACCAGACCTGTCAGGGGCTGGGAAGTAATGGAGTCGCTTACCCATTGCCCAGGCCCTCCTCAGGCCATGGCACCTCAGTGCCCTGCAGCTGAGGCCATGGCCAGGCCTCAACTTTGCCTCTTGGTGAATTTGCTTTCCTAATACTTGGCCACAACCTAAACAAGCATGTCTGTCTGTTATGATTTCTTACTGGCTGGATTGAGGGGGTAGGGAGGGCTTTAGAGAGCTTCCTAAGGAACGCTTCCTACTAAGTCAGATGACCTGCAATTATCCCCACACAGCCAGGAATGGGAACAACAGTCAAGGAATTGAGAGCCGAGCCGAGGGAAGAGCAGAGGCTTGCCCTCCAGACTTTGGAGACAGGGAGATGTGTGTACAAAACAGACCTTTCCATCTTATACTGAAGGCGTTCTTCCCAGGGTCCCTTGTATGTCCTTCCCCATTTATGGTAGGCGCATTAACACCCTACCCACTAGACAGCACACACTGAGCCCTCCGAAAACATTAGCTGAGAGATAGAATGCAGGGACGAATTCCCCACCACTCCCATCACCAACTCACTTCAACTTAAGTAGGAGAAAGGGGGCAATATGCAGAGATCAAAATAGAATGGATTGGGCCCTGAGGGCCAGCAGGAAGACCCAGAACGCCAGTAGACTGTAGTTTTCACAGTGTGGTCCTCTGAATCCATCTTTCCTGGGACCTCAGATGTCTCCAGTATGGGCTTCTCCCTATCCTTGCACCCATTGATTTTCTGCCTTGATTCCTTCTTGAACTTCTTGACCTAAGAAGCCCAGGCATCTCCCAGGAGGGCTGGGACTTAGGATCTGGCCTCCCAGCCCCCTGGTGGTGCCTGGCCTCAGCTGAGTGACCCCAGGGCTTAGTTTTCAGCAGCTAACTCCACAAGCCACACTCATGGAAATCTGTCCTGAGCAGACCGGGAGTCTGGGGGAAGGCTTCATTCCAAATACAACCCCAAGCCCACCCTGATGCCTGCGCAGCAGCTAAGAGTTCCCACTTTGTGGAAGAAACTCTGGGAAGCCAGGGGAATGGAATCCATCTTCTGGTGTTCTTTTCCCAGTCTAAAGGACTATACTCCAAACAACAACCTTAAAGACAAGGAGAGGTCTTCAAAGTCGGCCCAGGGACAAATCGACCAGATGCCTTGGCAAAGCAGCCTCAGGAGCTCCCAGTTTTCTAGACCAGCCCAGGCAAAAAAGCGGGGGCTCTTACCTGCACATCACCTCATGTGTCAGCAGGACTCGGCACATTTCTGGGTTCTTATTCTGCCCCTCATAGGCTATGGGCTGTCAGAAAGGAAGACGCCATGAGACAGAGGCAAAGACAGGGCTTTAGAGCAAGTCCAAAAATCTGTTCCCTCTCACTGCCACCTCGGAGACCCTCCCCACACACACAGAACCAGAGCTACAGCCCCGTCGATATAGAAGTTCGCCCCTTAGTTCTTCTTAGCAAAGAGGGATACCCCTGTGAACCGAAACTTCAGTAATTCTTTGCTGCCTTCAGTCCTTCATTTGCCACGCCTCCCCAACACCTAGCATTCCCCCATAGCAGATGAAAACAGAGGAGGGGGGAGAGTTTTTGTTTTGTTTCCCAAAGTGGGCTTGGGGTGAGGGGAAGTGTGAATCCCCCACAGTAAATCACGCTAGAGGCAGAAGTCAGAGACAGCCCCGGGAGTGGGGAACCAAAGGCAACCGGCTCCAAGGCTCACCTGCTTGGTGACTGAGTCGATGAGCCTGACGTAGAGGTCTTGTTCTGTGCGGACACCTGCAGGGTGAAGGGGGACAGGCGATGGGTGGGCAAGGACAGCAGGAACCCTCGCCCATTCCCAAACCCCTTCCCTGCCCTGGAGCCTGATCCCGTCTGTCCATCAGGCCACAGACTCCGTGATGGAAGTGACCTGGAGGGGGACACCCCTCAATCACCACCCCCAATCAGGACCTGCCCTAGCTGCATACAGTAGGCGGTAGCTAGCCGCTACACCTGGCTGCAGCGCCTGCCCACGAAGCCGCTTACCGTTGCTGTAAAGGAGCTGTAACTTGTAATGGGTGCCATTATTGGTCTTCTCATTGCCTTGTTCCTAAAAACACAGAAACCCTTCTTGTACTTTTTGGTAAACCCCCCCCCACCATGAAAGAAACAGGCTTTGAACAACCCCCATCCAGTTCCCGGGGTCAAAGGGCAAGGAGCAGCTCCCGCCATTGGCCACCTTGAAGGGAAATTTGTCAAGACTTGCAGTCACTTGACCTTCATCAGCCCTTGCCTCTCCCTCTTAAAAAATGTCCTCATAAGTGCACCCCTGCCTCCTCCCGCTGCGCTGCCGTGAAGACCAGACACCCACACCAAGGGCTCGCTTTAAACAGTGCCCACCCAATCCATCTGTCCATACGAAGCCCCTGGGCTTCTCTCAGGGAAAAAAAAAAAAGTGAGTCTGCCTGTCCTTTAGAAGGGCAACATTAGTTCCGCAAAACCGGAGTGAGCAGGCCCAGGGCTGGGGACCTTGGCAACTAGCTACCCTAGGGTTCCCTTTGCACAGCTAAGGAGGCTGGGACCGAGACACAGCTGTTGGGCATGTATTGGTTTAGGTAAACAACCCTTCATTTCAGATCAAATCCAGCCCTCAAATCAGAGTTTGAGTTCAAAGGAGGCACTCTGTCCTTTAGTACATGGTGGGGGGGAGGGGGGGCGGTAAAGACTTTTGAGACCGCGAGCATGGGAAGGCCGACCAGAGCTCCCACGTAACACTGAATTGACCTGCACCCCCTTGCTCTCTTCCCCCGCTGCCAGGTGAAAATGAAAAAATAAATAAATAACCTGGAGACAGACTGACAGCGGCAGCGTTGGTTATACTTTTAAAACTATAGTCTAGAGAACTTTTTCTCCGAAGCCAGTCAGTGGCTTCTACTGACCCCAAGTCTAAGGTGAGCGCGCTGCCGGAATCGCCGGATTCGGAGTGGGACTAGCGGAGGGGCTGGGGGGTTGGGGGGGCATCCACTGAGTTAGAGACTGAGGATGGGAAGCCTCAATTTATCATCCCTGATGATGCGAGGGAAAGTGTCGCAAGTGACAGATGGAATCCTAGGGCTTCGCAAGGAGGGAGTTATTAGGCCCCGGGGCGGGAGGGGGAGCAGGGGGGTCTGCTTACTTTGTCGTTCTCCACAAAGTCCACGAAGGCCGTGCGCTCGATCTCCACCGGCTGTCCCTGCCTGTCGTAGAGCGCCAGGACAAAATGAAAGAAGTTGGATTTCCTCAAGTTAGAGGGTGGTTGCTTTTCAAAGTGGGCCCGGGACAGGGCCACTCCGCTGCACCGGAAGAGATGGCAGGAAGACAGGACGCGGGGAAAGAGTGAAAGACAAGAGAGTTAGGCAGTTACTAACGTGCCCCAACCACACTGCTGAGGGGCCAAGAGATCTACAATCTAGGCCCCAAATACCTGAAACCTTCAGGTCCTTTACCATTTCTGTTAGGAAACGCATTCCCTTAGAGGAGTTGCCATAGGCACCTTGCTTCCAGCGCCCAGTTCGTTAGACAACCTCCCAGAATCCTGTCGCCAGGTCTCTAAGTCTCCTTGTCCGGCCTTTAGTGCAAGCGAAAGACCAGAGCTGCCAGCTAAGGTCCTGAGAAGCGAGTCTAAACCGCTGACGCCTGTCCTATCTTCCTGCAGCCTCCTGCCAAACCTCAAATCTCTGACACAGCTTTGGGGGTAGGGGGCGGCGAGATGAGCTTCTTTTGCATCTGAGCAAATGACCCCTTTAATTCCTGTCTAATGAGTTACCAGCCCTGTGACACAGCCTGAAAGACGGAAAGAAGCCTGGAGCCCAAGTCTTGGTCCTCACAGGGCCTCACCCGCCGGTTTGGCTTACTCTACCGAAATTTGCATCCAGAACAGCGTCCGGGCAAAATCCCCAGTCATCGCTGGGGAAAGCGGGCCAGGGGCTGTTTGAGGACCTTCGCCCTCCGGAGCTGCTCCACGTGGAGAAGCCAAAATATTAAGAGGCAATCAAGCGTCCTGGCCAGAGACCCCGGTGGTCAGCTCTCAAGCGTTTTCCCCAGTTCCCTGACTCTGTAGCGCTAGACCCGGAGTCCTCCAGAGCCTTGAATACGTGCACAGGACCTCCCTGTATACCTGTCTCCGTAAGTGCCACCCACATTTAACTGAAAATCGTGTGGCGCCGGCGAACTGACAGATGTCAAGGACAGCCCGGTGGCCCTAAGGTCTTCCGGATTCTTGCGTTTGGCACGGTCACGGTCACTTTTTTGAAGGTGTACATTTTTGGCTAGACTCTGACTGCCTGCTCAAACTTTAGCAAAGAGCATTTTATTTCGGACGGGGAAATAGGAGGACAGGAGGACGGACGATGTCTCTAAGTCCGGCTAGGAGACGAGTCACAGTGCGATCTGCAGAGCTGCCTCGCGCCGGGGCAAGTCCTCAGAGCTCTGTTGTGAGCCGCAGCCTCCGCTAAGTACCATCTGCTTCAGAGACAGCTGAGCATCCCGGCTCCGGAGGGGTGGCAGTTGGGCACCGCAGCCCGCTTCAGTCACCCGGCATGCGGCCTTTGCTTCAGCTCCTTCAAGGGTGGCAGCCAGTTCGTTCTACCCGGGACACCTGAAGATGTGGCATGTCTGGAAATGGGGTCATTTCTCGGTGAGAAGTTCGGGTTTAAGGAGGTTGGCGCGGGGAGCAGGGGGAGAGACGACAGTCCTGGAAGAAGTTTGGAGGCTCTTGAGAGAGTAAGGGAGCTGCCTCTCTTAGACCCGGCCACGAAGGCCACGAATTCCAGTTCAGAAGCGATGCTGCGAAGGGGGACTGGAGTGTCTTCGTGGGATGGAACCCTGGACAAGACTTTACCATCCACACACGTGAAGATTTGGAGTCAAAATCAACTTGAGGAACGCGCAAAATTGGAAGTTGATCTTCTCTTCGGCTCAAGCGACCGACCTCCTTTCTCTTGCCTCTCCCGCGACTTCTCCTGTGCTTCGGTCCTTGCTCGTTAATTTCTCGCCTCGGTTTGTCTGGCCCACTCTCTCTGACCCAGGAACGGCTTGCCTGTCCCCTTAGCCAGAGCTCCCGGCCGCCTTGCTTTCCCCTGCAGCCGCTCAGGCCTTTTCCGGATCCTCTCGCCGCCGCCACCATCTGGCCGCTGGGCTCCCCGAGTCTCGGAACCATCCTGAAAGATGCTGGAGGAAAGGCGCTCGCAGGCGCGTGGAGAAACCTCGGGGTGACCGGGAAGCCGGTTCCGCTGCCAGCTCTGGTCCTCACGCTCCGCTCTTGATTCCATGAGTAAATGCTGAGGCATGAAGCTTTAATGCTACTTCAAAATATTTTTCCCCAAAGAACGGACTGTGGGAAGGAGTGAAGGGGAAACACCTATGACCTCGGTAATTCAGAAACTCCAGTGTTGGCTGCCGGAGGATTCCCCTGGCCACAGAGACCTTCCCGCCCCCGGGAGAGCCCCAATGCGCATGGCCTGGAAGGACAGACGGGGACAGAGAGAAACAGAAAGAGAAGGGGAGAGGGGCACACGGAGAGACAGACACAAGCAGATACTTCCAGAGCACAAGGGCTCCAGTCTCATTACCTCTGAGCCGCGACATTGGCGTCCACCACGCCGACATTCCGGACCCAGGACCTGACCGAATCCATCTCGGCGCCCAGCGACTTTTCTTTCAGAGCTGGTCCTCTTCCTAGCGTATCTTGAATCCCAAACATTTAAAAAGTCTTATCCTTTACTGTCGCCTTAAAAGTGACTTTACGACAACACCGCCCCGGCTTTCCAACGCTGCCAGCAAACGCTGTCCTCCAAAGCAATTCGAGAAAGGGGGCAAGTGACGAAGTTTGGGGCCCTCTTGGAAAGAAATAACCAGTCCACGCACAAAGCACTCAAAGTTTGGGGTTTTATCCTCGGTGGCTTCAGATCTGCCGCCTCGGGGCTTCTACCACCCTAGGTCGCCCGCATCCTTCCAGTTGCAGAGCGTTCTCCTGAAAGTGATCGCAATTTCAAAGCATCACCTGTTCTGGGAAAAACAGGAGGAGATAGATAGCTGTCTAATCTCTCCCCTTCCTCCTGTTTCCCCCCTCCCTGCTCCTCCCCACCGTTCCAATATAGAAAAAAAAATCCCCCACAGGATCAGTTGTGAGAGGAAGGGGAAGACCCGGAGCCCGGAGGAGGCGGTGGCTGAGAGCGCGGTAGAGCCGGGTTGCAGCCGCGCGCGGGCCCCATGAATAGTTACTACAACCCGGGCCGCGGGAGGCGGAGCCGAGGCCCGATAAGGAGCCTCATTTGCATGGACGCCCGGGATTGGCCGGCTCTGGGTAAGCCGGGCGGACGTCCTCCCGCGGCGTTCGCCAAGCTCGGCGTGGCCCGAAGTCCCGGAGGTGAAAGGCTACCGCAAGCTGCAGGCGAGGAGCCTGGGCCAGAACCCCGAGTGTTTGACCTGCGTGGGAAGGGGGCCCCCAAATCCCGCACTGAAACAGAGTAGCCGGACTCTGAGAGTTAGGAATATGATGGCTCTGTCTGATCGCGGGAGCAGGAAGCTGAGCGGATTTGCCTCTAGATGTAGGTTTTTGTCGCCTGCAGGGGACCCAGCAGATTCTTTCCTGGGGTTTGGACTTGTGTGCATGCTTGGCAGCAAGCAGGAAGTGTGACCACCTGAACTCGTGCTTTATGCAAACACTCCCCCCAGGGCATCCTTCCTGAGCCGATCTTCCACTTCTCGTAGAGTTCCAGGGTGACTATCATTTCGTGGGAGGGCTACAAGTGCTAAAAGGAGAGAAGAGATCAAGGGAGGCGAGAGTGGAGTGTGGATGAGTGAGGCTCAAGTGCAGTTTAAATAAATATAATGCCGAGGGAAATGGTGGAGGAGCTAAGGGAAAGGGTCCCGGGAGGATGGGAGCACGCACCTTTGCAGATGGGAGAGGTTGCTGACAGCTCGGCAGGCTGAGAACTGCCGGGTGCAGTTTCGAGAACCACCCTTGTGTCTCCCTCCCCAATCCCTGAAGCCTGGGGAACCCTGCGGAGTAGACGCAAAGCGGCTTCGAGAGAGTCCGGGAAACTTTGTCTGCGGAGCGCTGTGGTTGCGAGGGTTGGTGGCCGGGAAGCTGCGGCCAGTTCCACAAAATAGCTGAAACCCTAGACGGCTTGAGGTGCCTATTTAAAAAAAAAATCCTCCCGGCTGGGTGTTATTTTCTTGCTTCTCTTTTTGTATTCTGATCTGCGCGTGGATCTGCTGTTGAAATCTAGAACGCCGGCGCGAAAACAGATTTGAAGACAATGAATGCAAATCTGTGCTCAAAGACCATCTGCCGTGGAGGAGACAATCAGCTGCGCCGCGGTTCGAGCGACTGCACCCGAGCCTCCCAGCCTCATTACATTCGGGAGACTTCCCTCCCCACTCAGAGCTCTCAGGTTTGCGCGCCAGTTGAGTCCTGTCCGGACCCCCTAGGTGTAGGTGAGCGCTCACAGATGAACTGCGAGAGTTAGCCGCTAGAGGACACAGCGCCTGGGGTGCACGATTGCCTGGGAAAGCGAACAGGAAGCTTGCTCTTTCCGAGACTGCGACTCTCCACAGAAAGGGACCTGTGCACGTCACTTCACCTCAGGGGCTAACAGCGACTGCAGACTGCGCAGGCGGGATGGTGCTCTGCCAGATCTGCTCTGGGTCTGCTGCAGAGACTGGCTCGGAAGCTGATGGGAGCGCGAGTCCTTTTTTCACATACTTCTGTGGTGGTTTGGGGGAAAGGAGGCTGGAGTCGTGTTTGGGGTGTACCCCAACTCCAGGCCTCGAGCTTGGCCTTCCTAGGTGGCTTAAAAGGGAGGAAGGGTGACTTGCGGTGTCGTTGGGTATAAGAAAATGGAACGGCTGAGTTGCAAGTCGGTGGTCCAACAAAAGAAGGGCGAGGCTGGGGAGAAGCTGGTAGCGTTAACAGCCACTTCTGTGCTTCCGCTCCACAATTCTCTGTTACACGAAGACTTTACGGATAATTGGGACCCCCACCCCCAGGAAAATCACCCAGAGTCTTCGAACCTGGCCTGCTGGTTTTTATAAATCTGCAGAATTTAAGTAATCCCTTCGTCTTCTCTTTCTTGTTCAGGGCCCTGTCCCCAGCTGGGCAAGGCCTCAGGTTCCTCCGCGGGGAGTGTGGACCAGCCTGTGAGCCCTCTGACGTGTGGATAAAACGGCTGGCTTTTGTTTTGTTTTGTTTTGTTTTAACCTCCCCAAGGAGACTTTGATCAGCTACACCTCGAAAATGCTCGAGAAAGACGTCCAGAGCCCGAGGGGCTGCGGGGCAGCGCTGGGCTCCGGCCTAGCCCGGCCGTGGGCCCCTGGAGGCTCAGGGTTAAAGGGCAGAGCCAAGGTCGCTGACGCCTCTTTTTTCACCACTAACAGCTGCCGCCCAAATTATACCCCTCAGGGAGCAAAAGAATTGTTCCTTTCTCCCAGCTCCCTGTCGCCTTCTCCAAATCAAACCCTCTTCGGTGGCGTCCCACCTCCCTCCTCCCCTACCCGGTGACAAGTTCAGGGTGATGGTGCCCTACTGGGAGATTGCCGGTACCTTGCCTCTAGACCATTAGCCAGTGGGACTCTGGGCTCTTACTGGGCTGCGCTGAGGGAGCTGAGGAGCCTTGCGGCCCCTCCAGGCACTGGAGACGAGCTGCTGCGGACGGCAGCTCGGGGTCCCCTAGGGTGGCTAGCCCCGAGTCCAGAAGTTCCTTCTAGGTGGAATTGGAGCTCCAGGCCGCGTGCGGAGGCGCAGTCGACCTTGTGCCCTGAGTTGCGAGGCTTGTGAGAGCTGAGCGCCTTTCCGCCAACCGCCTTGGCTTTGATTATGTTTGTGGAGGTTTTGGGGAGGGGTGACAGCAGAATTGGCCACCCGTGCCGATGTAGCGAAATAGCGGTGCTTGTGACTGCTGCGCCCAGCAATTTTGGAGTTTAGAGGGTTACTCCCATCTCTTTGGCCTCAGGCTACGTGAAAATAACCCTCCTTTAGGAACCTGCAACACAAACCCTTCCGGGAGTGGCTCCCGGACCATCCGGAGGAGCTGCGACCCCTCCTGCCCGCCCCCCAGTAGCCCGATCGCGCAAGGTACCAAAGTCTTCCTCCGGCCAAGATTGGCCAGTCTCTTTCTATCATCAAAAAATAAAAATAAAAAAAAAATCCAGAACTCAAAGTATTACTATTATTCCCTACCATCTAGTTTAGTTACACAAACTGTGGAGGTAGTTTGGGCATTCCAACTCATACCCTGTCACGGCCTTTGTTCATTCACCCTTCTAATATACCGGCTCCAGGTCTGGGTTTCCCCCTGCAGCTTAAGACAGTATGTTCAGTCTCTGAATTGCTTTTAAGGCCCGGTTGGTTTAGTATTGTTCAGTCCTGTCATCTTGTGCGCCAAGGCCCTTCTCTACTTCAGAGGTTTGCGGTGGTGCCCATCAGATGTCATTACACACAACCCTCACCCCCACTATCTTCTCTCTCTCTCTCTCTCTCTCTCTCTCTCTCTCTCTCTCTCTCTCTCTCTCTCTCTCACACACACACACACACACACACACACACACATCTATGCAAACCGTAGATGGCCCATTCCTAAGGAATTCTATGGACCGAGCCGGCTAGTATGGGTTGTGTAAATTAAAAGGCTTTGGTCTCCTTAGCCTGTCTTTGGAAGGCATTTTTCACTTGCCAGTTTTTGTTTTTATTTAAACTGCAATTTTTATTTATTTGCCCAACTAGCAACAAATGACTTTGCTCTCTCAGAGCCCTGCTGAACATTTAATCCACAATTCATAAATAATTTAAAAAAAATCTTCATTGGCTCCCACATCAAATTGAAGACTGGAAACCAAAACTAACTTTACTGACTCCCACACCAAACTGCAAACTGGACACTTCTTCTCTTCCAGAAACTATGTTTGTACAGTACATAAGTATAAATTCCCCAGAGAGGGGAGAGCAAAGAATACTTTTTTTATAACTTCACGCTAACTATCTCACGCATACACACCAAGAAATTTCTGTTAAGGACAGTTTGGTTAGACTCGGGTTCGATTTTGTTTTGTTTTTAACACGGTGAAACAGAGTCGAACGGGACTGCATACAGAAATACTAAAGATGCGGTGTAGAAAGTTTTATATTCGCACCGATGTGGTGCCCATGTCAACGCGGTCCCTGCGATGTGTTTGCCCAAAATGAACTGAAAGAGCCTAAAACTTGTGGAAACTCCAGACAGCCTCGTCCCCCTCAACTTCACATTCCTCTCCCACCCTCTACTTCCCTCATACCTCGTTGGTAGCGCGCTTAAGAAAGACACTTCCTTCCAGCTCACTCATGCCGAGCGATCGCAAAAAGTTTGGGAACCAGAGTGGAGCCCAAGTGCAGAAAGGTACAGAGGGACAAAGCCAGCAGCCGTCCACAGCTACAACGGCAGCGGTTTTAGGAACCCTGATGTCATCTGCGCTGGACCGGTGGGAATTGCTGGGGTCTGCAATAGGACACAGGTGGACTGGCAGCTTCTTTCTACTCTAACGCTGGGACCCAACGTCTCCGGTGCTGAGTGTCTGGGCTAGACAAGACCCTTCTTGGGCCCACGCTTGAGTAAACTGGCCTGGTTTTGGCCACTTCCAGGAACCTATGCACGAAGGCCGGGCATGCTGTCCCGACTGTACTCAGGGCATCAGGATCAGGAGGGGGCAAACACACAAAGAAGTTGTGGGGTGCCAGGCACTCCCCGCGCACTCCGCCACTCAGCTTGGCAACAACCACTTTCAGTGGGGGTGTATGTGCTCCCACCTCGCAGAGGAACAAAATGAGCTAAGGGAGGGGGGTGGCAAGTGATAACTTCGCTCATGGGTGGAAAACAAACCCCTCACTGGTCTTCCATTTCCAGACAGGATAGGCAGTAGATGGCCCTTAGAGAGGGAAAAGTTAAATGTGAGTCTTCTAAGGTGTTATTTTTTTCCTCCTAGTTTCTCAGCTCACTTGAGATAAGCAAAGAGTCACTTCGAAATACCCCGCAATTTCCTGGTGGTCCCCCTCCCCGCCGCCGCCAGCAGGCAGGGGAAAGCCCGCGGGACCTCCCAGCTCCCTTCCCGCTCCCGGCGGAGGTGTGAGCGATGTGTTGATTATTCATATTTTTGCCGAACGCACACTCCGCCGCGGCCGGCGCCGACACATTTCACACGTAT